TGTTCAACTGGATACCCAGACGCTGAGCACAGACAAAGGTGTGACCACAGATCTGGTCGTTTGTGTTTGAGGTTTTCTATGTTTTATTGTCTATGTCCGAATGTTTTAACTTTAGCTGTTAGCTAAAAACTAAAAACTGTAGCTCCTCATGTTTGTTGTTTTTCATAGTTGAAAAAATGAAAGACACAATTCAGTTAAATTTGGGGGTCTTTGTTTTTATCGTTGTGGTTTCGAAAATGGTATCGAGTAACGAGTATTTTCCTGAGTATCGGTATCCAGTTGAACATTTTAGTATCGTGACAACCCTAGTTGCAACTAGGGTTGTCATGATACAAAAATTTTCAACTCGATACCGATACCAAAATAATTTTTTTCCCGTCACGATGCTAAAATGTTCAACTGGATTCCGATACTCAGGAAAATATTCGATACTCGATACCATTTTCTAAACCACAAGGATAAAAACAAAGACCCCAAAATTTAACTGAATTTTGACAGGTTAGTGTCTTTGGTTTCAAACTGACCTGTTACTGATGTTATGGTGGCCCACATTAATGACTCTAACCCTAACCTTCATAATAGTGAGAAATCAATATTTTTTGGTTAAACTTGTTTGGACTTATTGTACAAACCTATTTAACATCCACTATTTTACCATAATATTATGTATAGAGTTTAATTCAGTGTTTGCTAAATAATTTAACAATTTTTAAATGAATGTCTATATTGCCATGAAGCAATTAGGATTTTCTTGCCTGGGATCTTCCTATTGGTGAGCTAATCAAAATGGCCGACTTGGATGTGGGGAGTTGGATATCCATCCTTGGCTTCCTGCAGACTTGATTAATGTTGGCGTGTTATTATTAGCCATTAGCTGCAGCTAGCAATTCAAGGCTAACGTCATGCTAATGATCATAAACAACGTAAATGAATAAATAAATCAGAGAGAATACATTGTTTTAGTATCAATACTTTGAGTATTGATACTTTTGACCACCCTAGTTGCGACACACTCGTCTCAACTCTCTCTAGTCAGTAAGCGGGCGTGAGAATGAAATCTTATCTAACAATCTCAGCCACGCCTTTTCCAGCTGAACTCGCCTTTGACTTTAGTGCCTAAAGCTAGTAGGTCAAACTTAGTTTATTGGAGCACCAGCACACGTTTTATAATTAATAAATAAAATTCTACTCTCTGTGGTCATATAACTCCCAAAGAGGTTTTTATTTGTTGGTAGCATTAACTTTTTTGTTGATATCTGTCTTTAATGTTATCCCGAAATGGCTAAATTAGTATTTTAATACAAGATAAAGACCAGATTAGATGATCTAAAAATCCATCTTTTTTTTTTAAATAATAAAATAAATTTTTTCCTTTATTTTTTTTTAATAGGTTTTTAAAGGGTTAAATGAGTTTGAATTATTTGTGTGAACTCTGTATAATTTTTTTCCTTTATTTTTTTTAATAGGTTTTTAAAGGGTTAAATGAGTTTGAATAATTTGTGTGAACGCTGTATAATTTTTTTCCTTTATTTTTTAATAGGTTTTTAAAGGGTTAAATGAGTTTGAATTACTTGCGTGAACTCTGTATAATTTTTTTCCTTCATTTTTTTTAAATAAGTTTTTAAAGGGTTAAATGAATTTGAATTACTTGTGTGAACTCTGTATAATTTTTTTCCTTTATTGTTTTTATAGGTTTTTAAAGGGTTAAATTAGTTAGAATTGCTTGTGTGAACTCTGTATAATTTTTTTCCTTTATTTTTTTTAATAGGTTTTTAAAGGGTTAAATGAGTT